CACTTTACAGTATATCCTGTGAAGCTCTTAAGACATTTTTCGAGACATTTCAATGACATGATAATGCGCTGTGTCAAATACAAGGATTATTGTATGCACTATGTCAAACACAAGACGTGCCTCCTTCAAGCCACATCTCAAGATTGTTGTCTTTGATCATGCCTTCGGCCACTCTCCTACCCTCTCTTACCCTAACTCCTACCCCACCCCCTAGCTCGGGTGCCAATCCCTGACTATCCAGGGCCTTGGGACATCCTCCTGACGTGAAAGGTGCTATACAAGTATAATTTTGTAATGTATTGTATTATTATTTACCCGCCTTCAGATCGCACTTGAAGACTTTTCTTTGGCCATGCCTATGATCACCTCGCCTTTCTCCCCGGGTTGCTTGGGGTCAAACTAGGTCATTGTTCAATGCTCAGAGATGCTACCCTGTGTGAAGGGTGCTATACAAATGCAAATTGTTGTGCTAGCCATCAAAAATAATATCCTTGTAGTAAGTAGCTTCACAAAAACTTGTGAATCGTTGTGAATCTCCTTTCCTCCCAAACTGCTCCAGTATAAATGTGGAAACTTGATAGACATATTATCATTTCAGGAAGGCTTCTTTCTCTCACCAAACTCCGCTCCCCGATTACCCGTCCTTGCCAGACTGCACTGGCTGCCTGTCCCAGAGAGGATCGATTTCAAGATCGTCTTCAAATCCCTCCACTCCTCTGCACCCCCCTACCTCTCCGACTTCCTCTCTCCTCAAAACAGTGCCCATTGCCTTCGTTCCACAGGGACTGGCCTCCTCCTTGTCCCCCGAGTCCTCCGCTGCACCCTCGGCGGCCGTGCCTTCAGCCACTATGCCTCGAGGCTCTGGAACTACCTTCCTCGCTCCCTTCGTCTCGCTCCCTCCCTTCCTATTTTCAAGTCTCGGCTGAAGACCTTTCTTTTTGACGCGCCTTTGGTCACTTTCCTCCCCCTCCCCCTGGCTCGGCCCCGGGATCCGTTACTGTGAAGCGCTCTGAGACGCCGTCCAGCGTGGAGGGCGCTATATAAATACAAGGTATTGTTGTTGTTTAGTTGCATTTGCCTATGCAACAAACAGTTTTTTAAAAATCATATTTTAAAAATTGTTTCCAAAATACTGACTCATGAAAAACTTACCTCAGCTAAGTTTGAGTACTGTTAACATTTTATGCATGCAACATATATATGTAAATGGAAGTTGTCACAAATGCAAAAAATGTTAGTTTTAAAGAAGTAAAACCACAATTATAATTGAACAGCAAATCACTTATTACAGTATTGAATTTCCTTTATTTGGGTCCCTGTTCTATTCAGAAACAATGAGCAATCTCATGTGGATCTCAGAGAACCTTACCATTAGTATTTGAATGTTTTTTTCCCTTTGAGATACAGAGTAGTAATGAACAAGAAATGACTGTTGCAAACTTGACTTGGTTCAAAACCAACCACCTCCAAACTGTTATTTGTTTTAAAAATAGCATCCAAGAACAAATACATAAAGTTTAGCCAATAAAGTGTTTTGGTACAACGAGACGTCTCGATCTCTACCAAAGGAAATGCTTGCAACAGGAACAGACTGTCCTCAGTTTGCAGATCTTAAAAACAGCCATGCTCTGATTTGCTTGGTGGACCACACACAGTTTTTCCCATGTCAGTAGTATTTAGCATTCAGCTGGGAAAAAATGGACAAATAGGAAAGGTAAACGACTTTTCAGCCCACTCAGTGATAATTCGGGTTTAGCTGTGTTTAAAAGACCTAAATGCATTTTAAAAAAGCCTAATTTCCCCCAAAAATGTTTACTACAAGTCTCTTTCCAGAGTGACTTGTTTGAACCCTGTAATTACAAATGACTTGTAGGTCCTGCAGCAAAATTGCCATCTTAGTTCATTGCTGTTTTATTCTGAAAATGCCATCCTCTTTAAAACCGAGCACGCTGAACTTTATCATAGGCAAGCAAACACTGAAGTGAATTTCCTGCAGGTTTTATAGCTTATTGATCAATCAATCATGATTATAATTAGTATGTAAAAGCAAAATGTGTTATCAGAATATCAGTAGAAATTTACTATATGGATATCATAGGCATAAACACTATTCTGCCCTCATTGGCATAGCACAGTTGACTGCCACTGCACTTTCCTACCAGGATTTTTAACAAAAGTTATCTTTACCCTTCACAATTAAAATGCAGAGAAATAATTAAAATACACACATAATGTTGCATTGTCTATATTCAATATGACTATTTGTTATTGCTGGTTTTATTCAGTGCTTTATGGGGCGATAAATAGAACTGTTATGGTATGTTTTTCTAAGTAAACACTAAAACACTGTGAATTGAAAATTCTTGTAGAAAAAATAACAAATTTATTTCTCATTCCACTTGGCTGTTTGTATGTTTGTGCTGAGAAAGGCTGCATCTCTTAAACTATTGGAAAGCTAAATCAAGCTGGATTCTAACCTGATGTTACACATGTTCACTACAGTTAACAAAACTGTTTTACTCCATTTAATCTGCAATTCTTTAAGTTTTTAAGTAGTGTTTAATAAAAGAATAAAGTTAATACACTTTGTTTTGCCAGTAAGCATATTTTTAGTCTTTTTTCAGTCCCTGGGAATACTTGGAGAATATCTTGTAAAAGTTTCTATTTCAATTTGGTTCAGTATCAAGAGTGTTGACATGCAAATTCCATCCGCACAACCCCGAGTTCCTGATCACGATGCGGACACACAAGCTGAGGCTGGGTCTGCCCACAGGAGAGAGGGAGGGAGGGGAAGATGTCCCTGAACCACCTTTGTTTACTTCCTGGCAGCTGCCTCAGAACAGAAATGGCAGAGGATTTAAAGCAAGTCACCTCTTAAAGCCTCAGACATGGCTGCTGTGTGGCTGGGGGTGGGGGTGATGGGGGCAAGAATGCAAGTTTATACACAAAAATATTTTCATTTAAAAACAAATGCATTTTAATCTTGAGCTGCAATATTGCACATCTCTCCCACCACCTCTGCCCCATCCACATCTGTAGTACATTTGGGCTTGATTATGCCAATGCTTTGCTGGCAGACTCCTCAGCTCTTCCCTACACCGAGGGGCAAAGTATCTAGAACTCTACAACCCCTGTACTCTCCCATATCACATCTGCAAGCCTATCACCACCATCCTTGCTTGGCTCCACTGGCTTCCTATCCATCAGTGGATCAAGGTCAAGATTCTCGATCTCACAATAGCGGCTGAAATACTGCAGACCCGCCTGGTTCAGGAACTTGACTGCCGAGACTGCCAGAGGGCTGACTCGATTCTGACATTCTGTAGAATCTGGGTTTGATTCCCCGGGCAGGGCGAAACCTTAGGCATGTTTCCTCACTCCACACGTCTCTGTTTACCTAGCAGTAAGCAGGAACCCGGTTGTTAGTCGATTGGTAGATCGCTTTTCCTGGGGTCATAATTCCTTTTTAAAAAAAATTGGTCACTCAATCCACAACTGATTGTGGGACGCTGCTGTGCCCAAATGGATGCTGCGTTTCGCCCACAAAATATACAATCAATTCACTTTACAGTATATTCTGAAGTGCTTTGAGACGTCTCGAAGCTGTGATAAGGCATTATATCAAATGCAAGGATTATTATTATTACTACAAGCGTGAAACACCCAAGCACATACCCACAAACAAGTTGTTTTTAAGCGACTGTGCAGTACTATAATAATCCTTGTAATTGATAAAGCACCTTTCACTTTGGGAGGACGTTTCAAAGCACTTCACAGAATTTACTGTAAAGTGTTTGGACAATATATTTTGTCGGTGAGCACAGCAGTCAATCTGTGACCAGCAATGTCCCACAAAAAACTATGAAATGATTGAGCAACTTTAATTGGGGATTGTTGGCCAGGACCCAGGAGGAACAGAGAGAAACTCCCTTCTTTTTTCAGACCTTTAATATCCACCTGAATAGGTAGAAGGAATTTCAGTTTAACATCTCATTCAAAGAGCAGCACATCCCGTCATTACACTGGGTGTGAGTACAAAGTCCCAAGGTGGCTTCGAACCCACAGACAAGAAAGCTGCTAACTGAGCCAAGATGACACGTACAAAGATCTGAAACTTCAAATGACTTTTGCATCAATTTTCTTCCATTAAATCCAAGGGAAAAATGACAAATTATTACTCCATTTAAGTAATTAACTGCAAACTAACTGGTTCAAACCCAAATGTTTCAATGGGCAAAAAAATCACTATCCCAAGACTCCACTTAATTGGGTGTTTTCATCTTGGTTGCAGAAAGAGCACATTCACTTTGCCTCACGAGAAATGTAGTTTAGAATGAGCTTGACTCTAGTCATCAACTAGCATGATGGAATTTCTAACATGGAGATTCGTTGCCAGAAAGAAGTGTTGCAAACTTTTAACCTCCATTCCTAATATGTTCCGGATATGTTAATTTAAAGGAGTTTGCATTTGATATAGCTCTTTACCACATCAATAAGATACTTTGAAGTGTAGTGATTGTTACTTAGGAAAACAGTCCAACTAACCTGCATTAAAATGTTAAAAAACACAGCCATGAGATAAATTACCAATTGATCTGTTTCTGTGAGACATTTGGGAGGAGGAATTAATATTGGCTAGAATTCAGGTACAGCTTACGGTTTTCGGTTCGTCTGACACCAGAAATCCTATTCTTCTAGTGGGATTAGGATAGAACTTTTCTCTCTGTCAAGTGAAGATAGTGACATTGCCCGTTGATGTTCACTGCCCAGGCACACCAAGAATGACTACTGATAGGAGGTACGTGCGACTGCTATCTTTAGTACTTCCCTCTAACACTAGTTTTCAGGAGAGAATGTTGGAGGAGAAAATTAGTGGGAAAATTTTGTGAGAAAATAAAACAAAATTGGTATATGCAACTTAAGACAAATATTTCAAGCTCACAAGCTGGGATGAACATGATGACCCTCGCAAGCCGGGGACAGTGAATGATTGTACTTACTGTTCAATTCTTGGAGACAGGTATAGTTTAGGAAACACTTGAGTGGCTTCAGCATCCTCAAAACTGACTGAGAGAAGAGCAACATCTTCTCCTGGGTCTATCGTGGGGTCCTGAAAAGGAGAGAACCATGGTTAATGAATAGTGTGACATTTCACCTCTTATTGAAATGTGATCTCTGTATAAAATTATGTTTAGAAATTGCTCCTTCCAAAATGTTCTCACCTTCCCTGCTTCGTCTAAAGGACATCATCACCCAGATAAATCCATAAGTGATAAAAATACAAGTTGCAATATTATGGTAATATCACATATTGTGCTGAACTGAAGTGAAATTCTGTACTTTTGAACACAGGTAGTAAGGATACCCTTCCAGCAAATGAGAACAATACAATAAGCTCTTTTACTGTGTTTCAACCAGGAGCATTGTATCACCGTATATGATAGAAGATAGCATTAACAAGTGTCATCAACCACTGGAAAGGATCCACAACATTCTGGGATTTTGAAACTAGGATGTAATATCAACCAGAAACTGAAGACAAGAGTCAAAACACAAGTGAACACAGTAGGCTGATACTGAAGCATGGCAAATACCACATTGACTAAACCATCAATTACCAAACAAAGCTAAAAATTGTATTAAGTAGATACAACTTCGAAAAACTTTAAAATACTTTAACATTATACGATTACATAGTTCAACAATTATGTGCAACCATGGAGGTTGATGCTGCCAGAGCCCGAGGTGCTGAGGCGCTGGCGCGAGCCAATCAGGAGGGCCTCAGTCTTGTTCACATTCAACTGTAGGAAATTTGCCTTCATCCAGGACTTGATGCCCGACAGGCAGTCTGTCAGGTCAGCAGTGGTCCTGGAGTTGAGGGTGGAGGCAGAAAGGTAGAGTTGGGTGTCATCCGCATACATATGGAAGTTGACCCCATGTCTGCGGATGATATGACCAAGCGGGAGCATGTAGATATTGAAGAGGAGAGGGCCAAGGACAGAGCCCTGGGGGACGCCAGATGTGACAGTGCGGGGGCTGGAGGAGAAACCATTAGAGGTAACGAAGTGGAGATGGTGAGAGATAGGAATCAAACCAGGCAAGGGCAGGTCCATGAAGATTGAGTAAAGCGGAGAGGCGGTGTGTAAGGATGGAGTGGTTGACAGTGTTGAAGGCAGCAGAGAGGTCGAGGAGGACAAGGAAACAAAGGGGGCCATGATCACTGATGTTCAGAATGTTTCCGTGCTGAGGGCAGAGCGGAAGCTGGATTGGAGGGGTTCAAAGAGGGAATGGCGAGAGAGAAAGGAGTGGAGCTGGGACGCGATGACTCATTCCAGGACCTTGGAGAGAAATGGGAGGTTAGAGATGGGGTGGTAGCTGGAGAGTAGGGATGGGTCCAGGGAAGGTTTTTTCAGGATGGGGGTGATGACGGCTGTTTTTAGGGGGGTGGGAACTGAACCGGTGGACAGTGAGAGGTTGATGACATCGGATAGGAGGGGGCCAGAAGGTGAAGCTGGGAGACAATGAGAGAAGTGGGGATAGGATCGAGGGAGCAGGTGGTGGGTTTGAGTTTGCGGACAGTCGTGGTGAGGGAGGAGGGAGAGATAGGGTTCGAAGGAGTATAGGGCGGGATGGGTGGGGGGTGGGTCACGAAGGAGAGATGATGTGGGTGTGGTGGTGGACGGGACAGAGGAGGCTGAACGTATCCCCTCGATTTTAGATTCGAGGAAGTCTAGCATCTCCTCACAGTTGGAGTTTGAGGAGAGGGTGGGCGAGGTATGGGAAGGTGAACGGAGGAGACGGTTAGTGGTGGAAAAGAGTACAGTTGTGAGGGGGAAGATCACTATCATACAGTTCTTACCCCACAGTAAATGAGTGAAAAATTTGCACAAATCAATTGTATAAATATGACCATTTATACATTTTGAAGTTCTCAAATTCCTGTTGTAAGCTGATAACTAGGACCAAATGATCTATTCAGCTTGCATCCATTGAGACATGGTCCCAATTTGAGTTGGTGGTGACAGTTTGGGGGAGGAGGGAGGGAGGAAGTGGTGGCATGGCTTATATACATTTTAGCTCAGATTTTCCTAGGTACACAAAAATGTATGCAGCAACTAACAATCAAGAGTCCTTATAATCAATGCACTTTGCGATCAACTGTACATTTAGGCAAGTAGGAAGCCAATTGCGCACAGCCGTGTCCCACAAAACAATTCCGGATTGAGTGACCAAATATACATTTTTTTGAAGGAATTATTATCCCCGGAAAGCAGTCCGTCAATTGACTAACAACCAGGTTCCTATTTACTGCTAGGTAAACAGAGGTGTGTGAAGGAGAGTTTCTCAAGGTTTCGCCTGCCCAGAAATTTAACCAGCTTGCAAGGTGAGCGCTCTAACCAATACTCTACAGGACTCCACAAAAAGGTTCCTGGATGATTTCGTGTAACTGAAGAGTGCATAACCTATATTGATTAACGAATAAAATTGATTCTTATGAAAACATTTTGCCATTACAATACAGGAGAGATACATCATGGTGGGCAGTTGCTAATTTTGACTCCTCAATGTTCTCGCAACATCCTTATGAATATATAGCACAACACTATGTATCCTAATATTCTAATATGCTAATGCAGAAACTGTAGCCCTGGAGAACAGTCATTTTAATTGACTGCAAAAAGTTATGTAGCACCACAAAGATAATTGCTGATTTGCACAATATTCTGTGAATAAAAGGCCAATTGACATACGTTGATGAAATTGCCCTCTTGTAAAATAGCATATAGTAAATGTTTCTTGCAAAGTGATCTCATTATGGGGGTGAAAAGCACTGAGTAAGAAAATGACAGCATATATAGCACCTTAGGATGTAAGTGCATCTCATGCAGGGGAAGGTAATGAGCGTTATCTGGTTCCAAAAGAGAACTGGTTGGATCAGAATTTTTGGAAGTTGACGTGACCTAAATGGGGTTCCCTGTCGAAGATGCACTTTGGATTCTTAACCTTTTTCTTCTGGTACAAGACACCTTGATGTTCCCTAACAAACACTTTTTAATCCGCAACATGGCTTTTAGAATGACGAACAAGCATCTGCTGAGCATTTCACACACAAAATATACAGTCACTGCACTTTACAGTATATTCTGTGAAGTGCTTTGAGACATCTCGAAAACGTGATGAGACGCTATATCAAATGGAAGGATTATTAATAATGAGATAACACGTAAGGAATAATTTTGAAGATAATATGTTGATCAAGACAGAATAGTTGAAAAGCATACTTAAGTTCTATTTTAAAGGTAAAGACTACAAATATTGTCAAGCCACTTCCAAAATATATCAGGCTTGTGTTTTACCTACTTAGAAATGTAATTTAAAAGGTGCAATGGATTTTTTTAAAAATTAGAAATTGGAAAATAGATTATATTTTGGTAGTCAGTACAGGGTCAGATTCCTCAAAATTTCCGCAATAATGTAGGGAAGCCCAAGTATCAATTTTTTTATTTTTTAACTAGACTTGTAAGATATTAAAACATGTTTGCAATTGGTAAAATAATCCATGAATTGTGTGGGGCTTTTTCAATACAACTCTCCCTACCTCCTCGCCAGCCAAATAATGAGAAAATGTTTGAATCTTAATTTAGTTTGTCTCTGTGGAGATTAGATTTCTATCACATAGAGTGAAGTTGCTGAGTTCCATTCAACCACAGGAACAATCAAGCCTGAAAGGGTGGTGGAAGCCGATTCGATAACAACTGTCAAGAGAGAAGTAGATAATTATTTGGGGAGGACAAGTTTGCAAGACTATGGGGAGAGCGCGGGGGAGTGGGATTGATTTAAAAAGAGTCGGCACAGACACGATGGGTTGAATGGCCTCCTTCTGTGCTGTATAATTCTATGATTCTAAGCAGGAAATTCAGAAGAGGTTAAATTTTCTGTACATTTTCCTGTACAGGAAAGGGAGGCACTGAATTGGAAAATACCACTAGTTTTCGGTCTGATATAAATATTGCTAATATGTTACATCAAGCCTTGACAATTAAAATGTTTAGGATTTTAATTACTGAAGTGATTAAATTCCAGCCCTGTAACCCAGCAACAGGCAATACTTTAGAGTACATGAGAAAGTGGAAACATAAAGCTATACTAATTATTATGTCATAAATCATGTTCGGGAATGCATTTCTACCAACAACAAATAGATTATTTGGACTGAGAAAAACAAGTGAACAACAAAAACAAAATTATTCATCTGTGGTCATCAGTTCCAATTTATCTGAGCTTTAGTTATTCGAGTGTGCTAACCCAAACGCATTGGACTGTAAGTTTAAGTACACTGTCACTCGCATTCACCAGAAACAAACTGAGGTTGCAAGGAACACAAATTTCATTCAAAATTTATAAGCCCAATTCTTTGGCAACTCAAATGTTTTCGACACAATGTCATGATCCGTTTACATAAACAAGTCATGGTTGTCTCCATTACTGCAAATGAAGCTGCCACCATCTATAATTTATACATTTATAATTTTAAGTTTCAAGCTACTTCGTGGGGGTACATATGACTAACCTGGATCCAGAGCAAGAGTGCCAGTATTCCTTTTTTCAGACCTCCGAAGGTTTTAATGCGGTGTGACGCATCAGTCTTGGGAAAAGATTTTTTTTAAACTTTCCTGATCCACTTACTTCAAAGGGCCTCAAGTATCAGAAAATACCCCCAAAAGTTCCATTAATTATATACTTCATCATTACACTGATTACTAAACTGTGTTTACGAAACTTGCTGATTGATAATATTGCAGCATTCAAATTAAATAGTTGCAGATTTATTGCACAGTTTAGTGCATCTCATCAAAATACAATTGTTTATTTCTGATCTGCCAAGTGATTTTTATTTCACTGTGCAGAAGTTGTTCGAACCCCCTGGTTCTTTCTGTGAAGACTATTGCTGTACTAGTTTGGCAGACTCATATTCATGAGTTAAATATAATAATATAATAATCCTTGCATTTGATATAGCGCTTTTCACATCTAGACGTCTCAAAGCGCTTCAGTAAAGTACTTCAGTACTGTAAAGTGAATTGACTGTATGTTTATATATTTATCTAT